CTGCTGAATTCATCTTAAAACTCAACATTTTCGTTTAGTCGTATCTGCGTGAGCAGAATCACGTTGGTACTCTATATGTGGCAAAAGATGCGTTAGAAGGTGTAGCTAGATCAATGGAGCAAGTTAGTTGTCTCTTTTTGGTCTTGTGAAGGTTATCTGTGTATTGTTCATGTTTATAGGTTGCCTTAATGGCAAATTCTCCTTTTTCAAACAAATGGTTGAAAAAGTTGTTGCAGCTTGTTTTGAAGGGGCAGGTTAGAAAGGTGAGATTACATAGACCAGCTGTTGGTTTACTATTCTGAATGTAATAGGAATTAGTATAAATATAGATGTTATGGAATTTAAGGTTTGGAAACGGATGCAAATTATTGGTGATGTTTTGCGAAGATACAAAATGGATTATAAATGTAATTTCCTTGGTCTCACAGCAATGATAGAGTTTGTTATGCAGGTTTGTTGCATGTTGATTGACTCTATCACTTTCGGTTTTCTCTGTCCTTTTTGATTTTCTACCTTTTTTTAATAATAGGAATTTTCTTCTGCTTTCTAATTAAACTCAACTGTAGGGCATCACGAATCTCACAAGAGACACTGCTAACAACACAAATGTCATCATGTACCTATCTTCTCAGTTTTCTGAGCGGAAACCATGTTTTTTGAACAAACATCGACAATGTCTGTATGTTTTCTTCCTAAACATCAGCTACAGTTTTTTTAATCTTATTTTTATGAATGTTGTCCGTTTTTATTATTATCAGTGTTCTTTGCATTGAGGATGATCGACTTCATACTTCACTGTCTTGCTCCATCTGCAGCTCACCGACTTATTTCTGAAAGATCTTTCGTAACACAGCAAAAAGCTGTACATTTCGCAGCCATAAGTGGACATCCATGTCAACTCAATGTCTTGCTCAGTCATGGTGAGTTCACCTTGAATTCATTCTATTTTACATATCAGCTTAGAACTTTGCAATCGTTCAGACATATATTAAGCTTTACCTTCTGATGACTCTAAGAAGTAAATACAAAGTAAAATTATATTCGACTACATTAGATGAATTGCGTTTGATATCCTTATATTAATGTTAATCTT